TTGGGTTGTGATGAAATGAAATGGAAAAGTACAAGTTTAACCAAAATGTTTTAAAGTAAAGTATTCAATTAGAACTTTGATTTGGCATTTCATGCCTTATATGTGAAATGTTAAATTACATGTTATATTATTTGATTGACAACAAATATTTTATTGAGTACTTTGATTTCGCATTGTATGACATATATATGAGAAATGGTGCTTTATAGGTTATATGATGAAAGAATAACTTTAATAAGTTAGTTTTACAGGTTCATATATTTTTATATGATATTTATAGTACTTTGATTATTTATGATATTTTCATATTTTGAAATACCTTACTTTAGTTTATATATGTTCCTCACATAGTGAATACTTAGCGTGTGATTGTTTCACGCGTAGGTAAAGAAATATGTTTTATATATTTGTTTCATTTCTAGTTGGCATGTATATTTTATATGTTATGTTTACTCTGATAAAAATAAGTTTTTAACCGGTTTATATAATTAAATATGTTAACTTATAAAGGATATTACTATCTAATAGTTTATTAAATTATAATTTAATTGTTAACTGGATGCATTTTAAAATAGACAATTTTCAGGTAGTTTCACTCGTCTCATGAAACAGTATTGAACTGCATGTTGCTTACTGAAATTGAAATTGATTTGGATGTTAAATTATTATATTTTGATTTTACGTGATTAAGTATTTTAGCGAATAAGGTTAAATTGGTAATTTTTAAAAGAAATAAAACTTTATCGATTTTTAAATAAGAGATGTTTTAAATGTTTGGTGTGACATCTCTAACATGTATTCAGGGAAAAATAAGGGAAAAGGGTGTAACACGATGGATTAGAATTGTTGCACTGGCCATGATGCTTCGTCGCGACATTAAATGTTGGTGAATCAATCACCTTTTTCGGTGTTTTGCCTTTAGGTTGCGGTTTAGGCCTTTCATCCTCTTTCTTTTTATGCTCATCTTTCTTCCCAACTTAGAGTCCACTTCTCATTGTGACAACTTTGCAATGTCGGTTACAAGTAACTTCACTGTCACTTGGCAATACTCTTTGTTATCTGTTGATTAACACATTCTCTAATTTTCTCACTTGATTTTCCAATGCTCTTAGTGATGCATCGTTCCTTGAAATGTACTCCACCAGTAGAGACTCAAGTGATGAAAATGTTGAATCTTGCTTGAAATTCTACCCTGATGATGCGTTCGTTGATGTGGCAACATCGATTATTGCTTCACATACTATTGGTATGATTGATGTTGTGGTTGTGTATTATCAAAATATGGATTCAATACTTCAGTAGGGTTGGCTACATTCTGATTTCCACATGATAGATCAAAATGATTCTCGAAGTTTGGATTGTAAGTGTTCTCATAGGTGTATGCATTATCATTCCAATTGTAGTTCCTTGTGAAATACATAGAATCAGGATTTTGAGGACATTCCTCAAAATTATGATGGTCACCACAATAGACACAAGTAATAATAAATGTTGATTTAACTTAAAACATACCTCTTGGTTGTTGCATTTTCATCACAATCTCAATCAATGTAATATGTGAGGCCATTTTGTTGATAGTTGGTTGTTGCATCTTCATCACAATCTCAATCAATGTTGTAATCCGTGAGACCATTTTATTGATAGTATCATTGTCCATTTTATAGATATGTATAATAATGATTTCTTTTTACTTTATACATCAATTTATCAGCTTTAAATATTTATTTAATTAGTTGATTTGGTTGTTGTTCAAAATGAAATGTGTGTATATTCTATGGTTATTTTTAAATACCACTAAAGTTTTTTTCTTCCAATTCATTCACCCTTTTTTTTTATTACTTTTAATTGCTGCTAGTAATTTCGTATGTCTTTCATTTTATACTATTAGATTTATAGTCCTTTAATTTAACCCCTAGTAAAAACTTAGATTTTTAAAGTTAGTCCTTAGATTAGGAGTTCTCACACTTTTGTCGTTGAGCTTTTAATTAGATATTCATTGACATAATTAATTAGGTTATTAACTAGAAACTCCACTTTAGGTTTAATTTCATATTAGTCCTTTAATTTAGGAAACATTTGAAGTGGCTCTCGTATTAACATGCACAATCGACCATTTAGATTTTTCGACTCAATATTGGTTAAAATGAATTAGGACTAATATTAGAGACTTCATTTTAGGTTTAGTCCTCTAGGTTTTTTAATTTCCATAAATTGATACTTTAATTTAGGAAAGCCTTAATTAATTCACTAGTATAATTAGGTTCATAAATGGTTATTTGATTACATTTCATTTTTCAAATGATAAAGAAATGTTCAATTATCAAGGAATTAATAATGTATCCTCCACATTATGCTCAGGAGGTGACCATTGGTAATTCCTGCAGTAAATCCAAATCATTTTCAAAACTCTATGTCTGATTTCTTAATTTTCGAGATAATGTTTGTTTATTGGGGTCAATAATTAAACTTTTGCATAAATGCTTGAGGGTGGATGTTATTGGTCCCAATAAATGGTATCATTTTCAAATTTGCATCCATAATAATTTTTAAATTAAATAAAACCTCAAACTCAAAATTTCCAATATTTTAATATAGAGTAATTGATTAGGTACTGATTCTAGGCGTTGTGGGGGTATTTTTTATAAAATAATTTTTTTATTAAAATTAGCCGATTTTAGGTGTTCCAATCACACCTTAAAATGACTACTGGTAGTTCCAAACATTTCATTTCAAAAATAAAATAAAAAACTCTATCGTTGCAACTAGTCAACCTTTCCCCCAAAGTGCCGATTACGATAGGTTGGTGACTATGTGGGGATCAAATCCAAAATCTCTAGTTTTCGTAGATCAAAATTTGGCATTTTGATAAAATAAAATGTTTTTTAATTTCGATTTCCAATCCCACCTTAAAATGATTGGTGGTGACACAAAACATTTCATTTCAAAAACCATCATTACAACTAGTCGACTTTCCCCCCGAAGGGCTAGTTGCGACTTTATTGCGGATCGAACCCAGAATCTCTGGTTTTCGTAGACCACATTTTGGTATTTTTCATAAAATAAATTATTATATTATATTATCCGATTTTAGGTGTTCCAATCATACCTTAAAATGACTGGTGATGACCTCCAAATTTCATTGCAAAATCATTTCGAAAACTCTATAATTGCAACTAGTCATCTTTTCCCCAACAGAGTCGCCAAGCTGTCGCAACCGAACCTTTAAGGGGAAAGCCGACTAGTTGCAACGATAGGGGTTTTAAAATGATTTTGTAATAAAATTTTGGGAGTCACCACCAATCATTTTTAAGGTGTGATTAGAACACCTAAATTGAGTAATTTTAATAAAATATTTTATTTATAAAAATTCAAAATTTTAGTTTGTAGAAACCAGAAATTAGGTTCGAGAGTCAGTTACGCGTGGGGAAGGATAACACCCCACAACGCTCAGAAATTAGTACCTAGTCGATTACCATATATTTGAAAATTATAAATTTTGAGTTCGATGTTTTATTTAGTTTAAAAATTATTATGTATGCAAAGTTTGGAGAAGGATGTCGGTTTAACAAATTATCATATGAGGCTGTGAAAAGAATGTTGACTTACTTCAAGAATTACCAGTGGTCACCCTAAGCATAATGCAGAGGATACACTATTAGTTCCTTTATAAATGAATATTGCCTTATTATTTTAAAATCAAGATGCATTCAGGCAACCTTTTAAAGACCTAATTATGCTAAGTGGTTTAATTAAAGCTTTCCTAACTTAAAGTGTCAAATTATGAAAATTAAAGAACCTAGAAGACTAAACCTGAAAAATAGTCTCTTATATATCATAATAATTATTTATTTTAATTATAATTAGAACCGAATTTGAGCGCGAGAGCCAAATCAAATTATTCCCTAAATTACAAGACAAAGTTGAAATTAACCTAAAGTGGAGGCTCTAATTAATAACCTAATTAGTTATGTCAAATGAATATCTAATTAAAAGTTTAAGGACTAAATTGTGATGAGTCTAAGGTTAAGGCTAATTATAAAACCTAATTAATTTTTACCAATCACTGAATCGAATAATCGAAATGAACCCTCGTGCATCTTAATGCGATAGTCAAATCGAATTATTCCCTAAATTGATGGACTAAAGTGTGAAAAAACTAAATCTAAGATTAAATCTAAAATCTAAGGCTCTAATTATGGAATAAAAAATAACCTAAACTAAAAGGTTAATCCTAAAGTCTAATAAATTAAAGGAAAAAAAACTTAAGTAAAATAGATTAAAAGTATCAAAATAAAATAAAAAACTTACTTTAAAAACTAAATTTACTAAAATTAATAATACAAAATTAACAAATAATAAAAAAATTAGCAATTTACAAATTATAGATTGAATTCATTGATCTAAATTAATATTATAGTTAACTAATAACCTAATTAATCTAGGGATAAAAATGTAATAAAAATAGCAGATTGAGGATCAAATTTAAATAAAACATAACACCCAAATTAGTGACCAAATAAAATAAATACAAAGAAAAAAATCGAAATAAATTAAAAACATAAAATATTGACTAAAATGTAAAAATACGCTAAAAATTGAGGGACTAAAGTGGACTTGCACCTAAAATTCTAAGTAAATTAAAGAATAAACAATAAAAGGTAAGCTGATGCAGTTAGGGCACAAACATTTGAATAAAATAAACAAACAACACTAGGGCTATTGTGCAAAAATAAGACAGATGTTAGATGGCTTTAAAGAAATTAACCTAAAAGTTAACACTAATTCATAATAAGGGAGAATAGCACGATCAGGACATGCAATTTGAAATTTCAAGAAAAAAACACATCGCGGGGACCAAAATGGAAATTCGCGCGCAACTTGGATGGCTTAAGCATTACCTCTAACCTCAGAGTATTTACTAACTTAAGCTAAACCTAGCCCTAAAAATCAATCATCACAAATTTGTTTCTTCTCCAATCCTCTCTTTTTTCACTCTGGACGAACCCTTAAACAAGCCTTAAAGCTGCCGTTAACCCACCGTAAATCGAAAAAATTGCACTCCGACTACTCCCAAAATGGAAGCACAAAGATTCCCTTGACATTAACCATACGTTGGTGACTGACTTAACCCGACCACCATCCGCGTGGTCGGGAACACCTACCTGAGCCTCAGAGACCGAAACCAACTCGTTTCTATTATGAATCCTAAAAACCAAATTCCATACTAACATACGAGCATATAAAAAACCAAAGGCGGATGACCCTTTCACTCCCGAGCCCCGACGCCACTCTGACGAGACTACGACAACTAAGGTAAAGCTCTAACAGCCCTCCCTATTTCTATTTTAATTTTTCTGCTTGAGAAATCTAAGAATGGTTGTTGTAAGAAAATGGAAAGAAAAAAACATTTCTAAAATTCTCTATTTATTGTTTTGATTCAAAAGGGGCAAGAAAAAGCCCTTTTTACATTGTATGCTTTGGGTTTTTATATTCACCCAAAATTTAAAATAAGCTTATATAGACATCGAAAATAATGTTCACTTATCAGAAAGAAACAACATCGAGAGAATACATTAATAGGATGATGATATAAAAAGTAAATATAATATAAAATTCAAAAACAATTTCATAAAATGTGTAACAATTAATTTGAGAATATAACGTCTAACCAATGGCAGCAACAAAGTAAGCATGTACAACATCTCTAAAATGTAATGTTTTTAAAGTCTGAATCGGGATATACTTACAAACATGGAAAGGTAGATGTCAGGCCGACTCGAAGCTGACAAGTTCCTCATTTTCGAATTGCAAGAATCCTTGCAAATTTTCTTTAGTAAGAATCACACATGATCGAACTCGGTGGTTTCGTTTGGGATTGTCCGAGTTCATCAATGGATTATAAGGAGGTGTCAGGATTTCATTTGAACTTGACGCAAAGGACGAAGAGAAGAGTTTCCCGACATGAAAGTGAGATGTTGAAATGTGGTCGGGATGTACAGTCGATTATCCTTTCACTCAGGGTTGGTCTTGACATTTTAAGGGTCCTAGCCAAAATAAGAGATAAGGTCCCTTAAATAAATAACTTAAAATTCAAGAATAAATTTCAATAAACGCCAAACAAATTTTTTCATTAAAAATTATACGAGTAGATTATATTATATTAACCAACATTATTTTATCAAATATATAAATAAACATCACAATTTTTTACTTAATTTACTCCTATTATGTCTTCAATTATATCTTAGAATCGTTTCTCTCAATCGAAAATTGGCGCATCTCACCTACAAAACAACATATACAAATTCTCATAAGAAACGATTTCTTCTAGCATTTTGAGATGCAAAATCATTGATAATAACATTAACATCAATGTTTCCTATAATCTCCTTCTCAATATCTAATGTTGCTAAATCATTCAACATTTCTTGTGACATTGATGACCTTAAGTACGTTTTTATTAATTTAAGCTTTGAGAAACTTCTTTCGGCTGAAGCTACGGTCACATGCACAGTTAATAAAATCATATAAGCAATTGAAGCATTCGAATAAGAATCTGCAGATTTGACAAACTTAAGAATTTCAGTGGCGAATAAAAAATCCGTTGGCAAAGTCATTTGTAAGACTTTCAATTTAGATAAATGATCATCTAAGTCAACATCCGATGAATTGCCATGAGAAAAGGTCTATAATATTTTCAAATATAATGACTTTAACTTATTTGAATCATATAAAAATCCAAAAATACTTTCAAATGTCTTCAATTGCTCAAATTTATTCTTCAAAGAAGTAATTTCCATAACTACCACAACAACAAAAATAATTGGCTCTAAATGACTCTTCAGGTGATTCAACTTCGTTATCCTCATTATTCTCTCTCAAAATTCTTCCTATCACACACGTTTTGTGGAAAAGATAGGCTCCACATCCATTTCAACTGCAAGACTTTTACCTACATTTATACTAGTTGTAAAGCCTTCATCTGTATATTTTTCAAAGTAGGACATCACACCTTCTAATTGCCTTATGGTAGTATCAATACACATAGACTTAGATTGTAATTTCTTGCTTACCATATTAACTGCAAATAAAATGTTATACCAAATCACAACACCAAGCAAAAACACAAAACTTGAAGTGCATTCACCAAACTTTCATCTTTACTTTTGACTTGCATCATTTTCACAAGATTCATATAATTCACACAAAGCCAATTTTATTTGGGGACATTGAAATCTAATAGCTTTGACACTTTTAATTAGACTCTCCTATCGAGTATTTGATAAATATTTCACAGTTAATCCAGGAACATTATCAAGTAAAATTTCCATCTCTTTGTAGAACCCAAAACAATATATATACTTTGAACAACTCCAAAAAAAGAAATAGCTTTAACACAAGAATGTATCATATCACCAAGAGTGAGATTTAGACTATGACAAGCACAAGGCATGTATAATGCTTTTGGATTAATTTTAAGAAATCTTTTTTGAACACCTTGGTACTTTCCTTTCATATTAGAACCGTTATCATAACCTTTTCCCCTCACATTATCAACATTAAGATCAAAAGACTACAAAACATTTTGTAGTTCATTAAAGAGTCTTAATCCAGATGTACCATCCACTTTTAGAAACTCCAAAAAGAACTCCTCAATTTCAACTTTGTTATTTAATATATTAACATATCGAACTATGAAGGTCATTTGTTCTTGATGGCTCACATCAGGCGTCAATCAAGAATTATGGAAAAGTATTTAGCCTCTTTAATGATCTTAATGATAGAATTTCTCACACTTTGAGACAAAAGTGAAATGAACTCATTTTGAATTTTATGTCCAAGATAATGATAATGAATTTCACGATCTTGAATGCGTCTAACATGATCTTGCATAATCACATCAAACTCTGCAATAATTTCAATCAATCCCAGAAAATTACCATTGTTATCTTGATATAGTTTTTTATTGGATCCTCGAAATGCAAGATTATGTTTAGCAAGACATTTCATAAGTGGAAATATTCTTTGTAACACTTGTCTCCAACGCTCTTTCTCTTTCATAATATCTTCTTACAAATTTTTATCGATGTTTGATTTTATCCATCTTACTCTCAATTCATTCCAAGTATTCATATTAGTCATATGTTCAACACTATTTTCATGTTGTTTAAGCATTTGGCTAATATGTTTACAATCACTTAATCCATCATTTGCTAACAAACTTACATTACTAATCGATTTGAACAACTTGCAACAAAAACAATATACTTTGTTAACATTTTTGGAATAACTAACCTTTTTTTATCACTAGTCTCACCATTGCTCAACTTTCTAGAATAATGCATATGAATGTCTATATATTTATCAATAGGAATTTCAAGATCCATTTCTCTTATGGGCCCTTTTCCAACTAATATATCCCTCGCATTATTGTCAAGTGCCTAAATTTTCAACATTTTCATCAATTGGCACATCATTAAAGTCAAGTGGATCATTCACTTCATTCATATTTTCAAAATTTCCAGGATTTTCAGTATGCAAATTTTCAGTTGATTGATTCAAAGTTTCATGAGAATCAACATTTTTAAACACAAATTTATCAAGAGCACCTTTTTGTGACTTCTTTAACTCCTCCTCTCGCTTCCTTTTTTTCTTTTTTTTTCTTTTTTCACTTTCAGGCAAATGTTTTTTAGGCAACATCTCATCAAAGAGTCAAACACAAACCAATTCTAATAAATAAGTATAAGAAAAGAACAATTGCACATTGATTCTTCAATTAGAATTGTAACCCATTGGAGTAAGATAAAATCTCAAATTCCCAATTGATAATTGACACTGTTGACATAAATTAATATTTATAACATGAACACCACAATAAACAACATCAAATAAGACTCTAAATAACTACTGTATACATTTGTTCTAAAAAAATCTATTGTACAAAATAGGCATGTGATAATTACTTTAAAATTTATAATTTATAATTTATAATTGTAAGTTTGTACAGAATTAGAGAATTACAATTTGTACCATAGACAAAACAAATACAAAAATACATAATTACTATACAGAAAAGAAATTTACAGAATTATCAGACATCATTGTAGATTTGTAGAATTTTTTAAATCAAGAATATTATTATAATTATAATTATAATTATAAGTTATGTTTAATAATTAAAAATAGGAAAGAGAAGGAGAAACAAGCATACCTTCTAATTTCTCAATTAGACCAGTTCACAATCGCCAATTTCCCTCTGCAAGACCGCGAGTTGGAAAAATTAGAATAGTAAATAAGGACTCAATTGATTGAATATATGATTCTAATATTTGATAGATGAGATTTGATTATTTGTGGTTGATGAATCCATTCTTTCTCTATTATATTAGGGAATTTTATTCCCGTTGTGCCACCATATTGATTGGAAAAAAATAGGAATTTAGGAAAGGAAGAAGAAAAATTTAATGGTGTTTAATATTATGATTAATAATTAGACTGTTGTAAACTTGAAACTTGAGCTTCAGAGAATCAGTTATAGTGGACTGAACTACTGAAGGTAACAAGAAGAAGGAGATGAAGCGTCAAAAGTTTTTAAGAAGATGTAATTGTGATTCAAAGGTAAAAAGTAATTTTAATTTTTTTATTTTTTAAATATGCATGACAACTAACAAGCATTAATATAGGAAGTTTATTTTTGTTGTGGGCTTGTGGGTTGTGACATCCCGTCATTCAACTTTGCAGTAGGTAAGAATAATTTTTTTTAAAGTAATAGTAGACTAGCAGATTGGGAAGATTGGGCCCTTCCAAACTTGGGCCCTAGGCGGTCGAACTTCACGCCTGGGCTCAAGGCCGACCCTGCCTCCATTGGAAAACCGGTATGAAAATCCTCTGTATACCCAAAAACAGGATGATATATTAGCAAAGGTAAAACCAAAATAGGCTCAAAATCTGCATCATCTGACAATTCTGGCACAACCGAATGCATGGAGTAGGACAGAACGACGATCGACATCAACTGAGAGGAATCATTAGTGGGTAGTGAATGAAACGAAAAAGACTCTTGGAAGGATATTGCCATGAATGGAAAGGACTGGCAGCATCAGTCCGCTGTGAGGAAGAAGGTCAGTGTCCAGACGCTGGAAGGATATGTTTCGAGTTTGTCGGTTCAAGGAGTGGGTGCTTGCTGCTGACATCCACCATGGCGAGGAGGGGATGACGGCGTGGGATCAGAATCGCTTGGAAACACAAACGTTAGACCAGCAAATTAGTGATGATTGGATTACCGGCGGTAACAAATCA